GCTCTATTGAATAGCCGAGTCCTAACAAATGCAGCATTTCTCAATCCATGAACATCCCCCCAAGGGAAAAATAGCTCATTTGCTGTAGATATCACAAACAGTGGAGGGCACAAGAACCAGAACAACACTGTACAGCAGTGAAAAGAAAATCACCTACTGGTTGAAACGGGTCATGAGCAGAGCTGGGGGAAATTTTGTGGACAAATAGTTTATTCAACAACAACAAAAAAAGCAGTTTCCATTGAAACTATGGGTGAATTTTACATGAATAATTTTGTCCATTCATGAAACAGCCAGAGGAGGAGATGGAGCTGCTGCTACTGCTGACCCCAGTGTTTTCCCTAAAAAATAACCTTTAGCTGAGTGGTTAAGGCACTTAGTTTGGAGGCAGAAGTGATACTGGTTCAAATCCCTGCTCTGGAACAGACCCAGAAATGGTCTCCTTTCAAGTTACCAAAAATTCCAAATTTGGTTTGAATTAACTCATTTTTTAAAATCTGCCTCTGAGCTGAAAAATCAGTTATTCATCCAGCGCTAGGGCATGAGGCAAACTCCCCAGGCTGATTTCCTAGCAATGCCACCTGTCCTAGTAGTCCCAGACTAGCCACTTGGTTATTCTGGAGGTGCTCAGATACCATGGAGATGGGAGCAGTGTAAGATCCTGAGTAGAACACCCTGATTTTGAAGAGGCCAGCCTGGGTCCTGCCAGCACCCCTTGCCCTGACATTACTGCAGAGCCTGTGTAACCAACGTAACATACTGCTCAGTGACAGTGTGCTAAGCTGTGTTGTGACATGCTGCTGCAGCAAAACCATGTCCCGACATTATTGACATAAACATAACGGCAGCGTGACCTATGTGTGAGCCCCGTTGGAGAATCTGTCTGACACAGCCAGCCGCGAGACAGAGGCTTGTAAATCCCAGCTCAGGAGACTGCAGAGCCAGGCACATGCTTCACCCGTGAGCTCAGACTGGCGCTCTGACTTGGATGTCAAGGTGGGGAGGGTGAGGAAAGGAAGGGGGGTGGGGACTGCGGTAGGACAGCCTTTGGAGAGACGGGACGATTCTCAATTACCTGCCGATACTGTGGCTGGGAGAGTATTATTTTTAGCCATCCTTCCTGGGCACAAAGCCAGGCTTCATTTTAATAGAAAAATATTTTTGAAAGTGAGACAAGTTAAAGCCTGCAGGTATCAAAGTCATATTAAAGAAGAAATGGATGGGGCTTGATATACGGCCTGACTCAAGCTGTGGTGCACCTCCCCTATTTTTAAAGAGGGCCCTGAAGTGCCATTAATATAATTTACCACCCAGGTGCAATTCCATGGGCGAGGGAATCGAGTCAGCAGAATGCCCTCACTGCTGTTCCCCACCCTTGGCTCAGGGGGTGAGGCAGACAGGTGGGCAGCTTCTGTGTGGGACTATGATTGTCTGCTCTGCTTCCTGTTGCTTTGTGAATAATTCTAGTTGTGCAGTGCAGGGGTTCACAATGGATGGGGGGCTGGGGTAAAGGGAGAATGGGGGGGACTCAGGAAACGGAATAAAGGGGGCCTCCAGGATCTTTCTACATGTAGGTCACTGGCTTAAGTCCACCCTGGCTGGTAGCAACCCAAAGTTATTAATATCTGATAGCTGTTTAGTAGTCCAGCTGTGGTGGGGTTCAGTTCCAAGCAGCGGGTTTGAACAGACTTCCTTGGCATAACTTTATTGGTTACCAAATCAGGCATCCACAGCCCAGAGCCACCAATTAGCACGAATTGTCAGGCTCAGAGAGGCAGGAAAAGCGAGGTTTGCTGGCACCCATGCTGCTTGTGCTTGCCTCCAACAGGACACCTTTCCCTGGGGTTTCCACAGCATTCCCTCTTTTAAAGGCCTGATCAAGGCAGGAGATGTAGGGTAATGAGCCCAGATCAGTTCCCAGATCAGAGCTGCTGATTAGCCTCTGGAACAGGGATGGGCAAACTTTTTGGGCCAAGGGCCACATCTGGGCGGGGAAATTGTATGCAGGGCCGGGGCAGGAGGTTGGGGTGCGAGAGGGAGTGTGGGGTCTGAGAGGGGGTGCGGTGTGCAGGAAGGGGCTCAGGGCAAGGGATTGGGACAGAGGAAGGGTGTAGGGTGTATGGGGGGCTCAGGGAGGGGGGTTTGGGTGCAGGAGGGGTGCAGAGTGCAGGAGGGGGCTCAGGGCAGGGGTGTGGACTGTGGGCAGGGGTTGGGGTGCACAGGGATGCAGGGTGCAGCAGGGAGCTCAGGGCAGGGGGTTGTGGTGCAGGGTGTACGAGGGGGCTTAGGGCAGAGAGTTGGGGGGCAGGGTGCAGGAGGGTTTCGGGCTCCGGCTTGGTGCCACTTACCTCCCTGCCTGCCTGCCTGCCCTATCCCCGGCCCCGTGCCGCTCCTGGAAGCGCTGCAGCCCCTGGGGGGAGGAGGGGCAGAGGGCTCTGCGTGCGCTGCCCTTGCCGTGCCTCCAGGTACCTCCCCTGAAGCTCCCATTGGCTGCGGTTCCCCATTCCCGGCCAATGGGAGCTGAGGGGGGAGCGCTGCCTGGAGGCAAGGGCAACACACGGAGCCCTTTGCCCCCCCGCCGGGGGGCTGCTTCTGAGAGCGGCGCCAAGGGGGCAATCCCGTGGGCTGGATCCAAAGGCCTGAGTGACAGAAAGGTAAAAGCTCCAGTAGAACCAGGGCCTGCATAGCAGACTGGGGAGCTGCAGGGGGTATGGGGTGGGAAGGAACCCTTGGCCTCAGGGCAGGGAGTGGCAGTAGAGCCACTTCCCCACACGCCTCTTGAGAGAAGTGAATGGTAGCCATGGACCCACCAGCTTCACCCCAACTCACCCATCCCTAGCCCCACTTCCCAGCTATCATGGGCACCAGGAACCTCATCCTGCCCTGCCCTTCAAGGGGCCTCCCCTCCCCTCTGTGCCTCCCAGAGCTCTTTGTCAGGTGGAGCACTTGCCCAGCTGCAGCCGGTTTCATTGCTCTCAATGGTGCAGCTGCAGTGGCTGCGGGCAGGGACTCCGCTGGAAATAAGCCAGGAAGGGACGTTATCTCTTTCAGACAGGGCAAGAAAACAGAGATGCTCCCAAGTGTCTCCAGAGGTCAGGGATTGTGTGACACCCCCTGCAAACGCTGGCCACTCTGATCTGGGCATCACCGATGCTCATGCACAGTCAGCCAGTGATCCCACCAGCTCTCATGAGCTAAGCAAGCAGGGGGGCAGGCCTGGCCAGTACCATGATGGGAGCCCAGTGAAAAAAACCTAGCAGGATGTAGGAAGTGGTTCAACAGGGGGCGCTCTTCTCCCAGCCTCTCAGACTGATAACCCAGCTCTGTGTAGGGCGGGGTTGGGTTTGTGCACATCCTGTTCTCAGTTGTTATGCATTAATGCTCGTGTGACTATGATCCCTGGACTGCTGGCTGAGATACAGTCTCGGGAATTCATCATTAAAGATCCCCTGACAGTTTCCACCAGAACTATGGGCATTAGGCCCACTGTCACAGCAAATTCAGCATTGGGTAACACCATACAGTATCCTTGACGTCCCCCTGCAGTTTTGATTGGATTCCTCCTCACTTGTTTAACATTATTGCACACAGCTAAACATCTGCTGCCTTTCCCCCACCCCAGAGGTGGCTGACGGTCACTGGCAGGTGATGTGATCTCTGTGTCTGTGACATAACAGGGGATGGAAAGGTGACTGTAGTGAGTCGGTGTGGCTCCCCTCCTGCCCAGAAGAGGGAGCCCACGTGCAGGCACCAGAGTGGGTGGGACCACCACCGCCTGTCCCCGCCCCCCGGAAGTCAAGGGGCGGGACAGGAAGTATAAAGGCCGGCCGCCAGAGCTCAGTTTGCGGCCAGCCACCACAGGGAGCAGACGTGCGGCCGGGAGCTCCCGGCCAGGAGACCACCGAAGACCGAGGCCTGGACCCTAGCTGGCCTGAGCTACCCCGGGCACGCTACGAGGAGGAGCCGCCAGAGCCAGTCCGCTCCCGTCACTGGGAGAATCCCTGGGAACCCCACCCCACCAACCCTGAGGGTGAGACTGCACCCGAACCCCTCCGCCCCTGCTGCTACCCAGAGGAGCCGCCTGAGGACCGTTGGCCTGACTTCCCGGCAGAGCTACCGGACCTGCCACCGAGCCCTGGCCGAGAGGAGCCCATGCAGATGGACTGGCCCGAGCCCGGCGCGGCGAACGAGGTAGGCTTTGAGGGGGATCATGGAAGTGGCCCGGGGGTAGCCGACCCCGGTCCGGCTGCAACCGAGTGTGAGCCAATGTCAGTGTGTTGCGGTCTGGATACCCCACTGACCAGCAGCGGCAGTAACCGCTGCTAGGTCCCCGGGCTGGAACGCAGTGGAGTGGGTGGGCCTGCATTCCCCCCTGCCACCCCCGCTCACGGGTGGCAGGCTTCCCCCTCACCCAACGCTCGGCTACCGAAGCCTAGGCGTGCCTTATCTGAACTGCTTGCTCGCTCAGCCCCCTGCAAACAGGGGCCTGAGCGTGAACTGTGTTTGCTCCGCCCTGATCCAGGGCCTGGGCTCCTGAACTACTTGCTCGCTCAGCCCCCTGCAAACAGGGGCCTGAGCTTGAACTGTGTTTGCCCCGCCCTGATCCAGGGCCTGGGCTCCTGAACTGCTTGCTCGCTCAGCCCCCCTGCAAACAAGGGCCTGAGCTTAACTGTGTTTGCCCCACCCTGATCCAGGGCCTGGGCTCTGAACTGTTTGCTCACTCAGTCCCTACAGTCAAGGGCCTGAGCTTTACTGTGTTTGCTCCGCCCATGCAGTCAGGGGCCTGAGCTTTAACTGTGGTTGCTCCGGCCCCTGCACCAAAGAGCCGGAGCTTCGGGACTAACTGACTGCTTGTTCCCACAGTAGTGAGTCGGTGTGGCTCCCCTCCCACCCGGAAGGGTCGAGCCCCGGCTAGGACCTATTACATTTGGCGCCCAACGTGGGGCACGAGCCCCTGCCCCTGTGAGAAGGGGCTAGAGGGGGAGTGGCCGTTGCCCCCCCCCCCCCGTTCCTAAGGAATGGATATGGAGCGGTTGTTCCAGCTGCTCGCGGAGAGCCAGGAGCGGCAGCAGACAGCCCAGGTGCAACAGCAACAGCAGGCCGCTCAGCTCGCGCAGCAACAGCAGCGAGATGCCGCCCAGCTCCAGTTACAGCAGGAGCAGCACACGGCCCAGCTCGAGCAACAGCAGCAGCTGGTGCGGCAGTTGGGAGTCCAGCTGCAGCAGCTGCTGGTTACGCTCCCTCGCCCCGCGCCGGGGCCGGTGGGGGAGGCTGCGGAGATGCCGCGGTTAGCTGCCCCCCTTCAGTTGACTAAGATGGGCCCAGACGACGACCCTGAGGCCTTCCTGGTCACGTTCGAGCGGGTAGCCCTCGTCGCCGGGTGGCCCAAGGACCAGTGGGCTACCCTCTTAGCCCCCTACCTGACGGGGGCGGCCCAGGTGGCCTATCGTGGGTTGGCGGCTGAGGAAGCCCGGGACTACGACCTGGTGAAGGCCGCGATATTGGACGCCCTTGACGTCAGTCCCGAGACCTTCCGACAAAGGTTCCGGGGCCAGACTTACCCCGCCGGGGCCCGACCGCGGGTAGTGGCCCAGACCTTAAAAGAGGCTTGCCGACGGTGGCTACAGCCCGACACCCGGACAGCGGAGGAGGTAACCGAGCAGGTTGTGCTAGAACAGTTTGTGCACACTCTACCCTCCCGAGGGCGCGCCTGGGTGCTTCGCCACCGGCCGGCGACGCTGGCCCAGGCAGTGTCGCTAATGGAGGACTTCCTAGCCGCCGAAGATGCAGTGGGGCCCACCTCCCGACGCCCCGGGCCTGGGCCCGAACCAGCCCGTGGCGAAAAGAAAGGGGAACCCCCGAGCGGACCACGACACCCTGCACCTAGGCCCGACTCCCACCGTGAGACCCGGATCCGGCACACGGACCCGGCTCCTCGGACCGGACCAATGGCCTCGGGCCAGGGGCCCCCAAGGGCTCGGCGAAGCCCCCCCCCGGAGCCCAAGCCGAGAGGGCCCCCGGAGCAGACGACCTGAACTCGGTCCCTGCTTCGGTTGTGGGAAGATGGGGCACCTCCAGCGAGACTGTCCGGAGATGGATTGTAGCTATGGGCAAGTGTGGGCGGGCCACACTCGAGCCCGGCCAGTCATGAACCCCAAGCTGACCGTCCCGGCGGCCGTCGGAGGGCGGACTACGCGGGCCTTGATCGACTCGGGCTGTGGCCAAACGTTGGTCCGTAAGGACCTGGTACCGCAGGGCGATACCCGCCTCGGGTGCATCCATCTACAGTGCATCCATGGGGATGTCCGACCATACCCCAGCGCCCGGGTCCCCCTAACAATCGCGGGGGTCACCCGACACCTGGTGGTTGGGGTAGCTCCCCATCTTGCATATCCTGTTATCCTCGGTCGGGACTGGCCGGCCTTCGAGGAAGTCCTACGTTCCACGCCGGCCCTGGAGGCTGATCTGCTGGGGTCCTCATCCGAGACCCCCGAGCAGGGCCCGGTGACTGAGATAGACGACACGGACGCAGTGGGGCCGCCGCCGGAGCCCGCGCCTCAGCCCCGCTTCGATACCGACTTCTGTCGGGACCAGCGAGAGGATCCCACCCTCAGCCGCTTCTACGAGCAGCTCGTGGCAGTAGACAGGAGTGTTGTGGACCCCCAGCGGGCCACCCTATGGCCCCACTTTGAGCTGCGCTGGGACCGGCTCTACCGCGTGGACTGTGATCCCCGCACCCGGGAACCACAAACCCAACTGTTGGTGCCCCTGTGTCACCGGCGGGCGGTAATGAAGCTGGCCCACGATGTGCCAGCCGTCGGGCACCTGGGGCGAGAGAAGACCCTCGCTCGAATCCTGGCGCGCTTCTTTTGGCCGGGAATCTCCCAGGAGGTGAAAGAGTATTGCGCCTCCTGCCCAGACTGTCAGCTGGTCGCCCCGCCCGGGATCTCCAAGGCACCCCTGGTCCCCATGCCAGTGATGGAGACGCCCTTTGAACGGGTCGCCATGGACCTCGTGGGCCCCCTCCCGAAAAGCGCCGTGGGGTTTCAGTACATTCTGGTTCTGGTGGACTATGCCTCTCGATTCCCGGAAGCCATCCCCTTGCGGAGTATTACCGCCTGGACCATCGCGGGGGAATTGCTGAAAATCTTTGCCGGAGTAGGACTGCCTAGAGAGATCCTAACCGACCAGGGAACGAACTTCACGTCCCAATTGTTGCGACAGGTCTGTGCCCTCTTAGGCATCAAACAACTCCAGACGTCCGTTTACCACCCGCAGACGGACAGGTTGGTGGAGCAGTTTAACCGCACTTTGAAAGGCATGTTGCGGAAATTCCCAGCAGAGGACCTCCGCCACTGGGACCAATTCCTTCCACCCTTGCTGTTAGCCATCCGAGAAGTCCCGCAGACCTCAACGAAATTTTCCCCATTCGAGCTGCTGTATGGATGCAGACCACGGGGCCTCTTAGACCTGATGAGAGAGACCTGGGAACAGTCGGCCTCCCCAGCCCAGGGCCTCCTGAAATATGTCATCCAGTTACAGGAATACCTTGCCCAGGCCGGAGCCCTGGCCCGCGAAAATTTGAAGACTGAGCAGGAGCGGCAGAAACGAACCTATGATCAGGGAGCCCAAGTCCGGGAGTTCCAACCAGGAGACCGTGTCCTACTCCTCCTCCCGTCCAGTGCGTCAAAATTGTTAGCCCGGTGGCAGGGGCCTTACGACGTCGTGCGTAAAGTAGGTCCCGTCACCTACGAGGTGCGGCAACCAGACAAGCGGAAGGGGACCCAACGGTATCATGTAAACCTGCTGAAACGGTGGCAGGACCGGGAGGGCCTCTTAATTAACCCATGTCCGCCCAAGCCGGAATTGGGACCCCGCGTACCCTCGACGGATGACCCCCCGGCACCCCTGTTAGGACAATCGCTCACGGAGGAGCAATGTAAACAAGCCAACTGCCTTCTGCAGGCCTTCAAGAGAACCTTCACGGCCGTACCGGGCTACACGTCCCTAGTCAAACACTCCATCCAGACCGAGCCGGGGAAAGTGGTTCAAGAGACGACCCGGCCCCTGCCCTATCGGATGCGGGATGCGGTCGAGGAGGAAGTAAGAGCCATGCTGGCTCTGGGCGTCATTGAGCCGTCCCAGAGCGAGTGGCGTAGTCCGGTGGTCCTGGTGCCCAAGCCAGACGGCACCCGCCGCTTCTGCATCGACTTTCGAAGGGTAAACGCCATCTCGCACTTCGATGCCTACCCGATGCCCCGTGTGGACGAGTTACTGGGCCGCCTGGGGGAGGCCCAGTATATCACCACCCTGGACCTCAGCAAAGGCTATTGGCAGATCCCCCTCGAAGAGACCTCGAAGGAGAAAACTGCCTTTGCCATCTCAACGGGGCTGTACCAATTCACGTGAATGCCATTCGGTCTCCATGGGGCCCCAGCCACCTTCCAGCGACTGATGGACCATCTTCTGCAGCCCCATCAGGACTATGCGGCTGCGTACCTAGACGACGTGGTCATCTATAGCCGCAGCTGGGAGGACCATCTCCCCGGGTTGCGGCGGTCCTAAGGTCCCTACGACAGGCGGGCCTGACCGCCAACCCCCAAAAGTGCCGTATTGCCTGGCAAGAGACCACCTATCTCGGCTATACCGTTGGGGGCGGGCGGGTCAAACCCCTCGTCGGAGAAGTCCAGGCCCTCCTGGACTGTCCCACCCCGTCGACCAAACGGCACGTTCGGCAGTTCCTGGGCCTCGTTGGGTATTACCGACGGTTCATCCCGCAATTCGCGTCTATCGCCGCACCCTTAACTGGGCTTCTGACGAAGGACAGCCCCCGGCAGGTACAGTGGTCACCAGAGTGTGAGGCTGCCTTCCGGACACTGCAGAAGTGCCTCTGCCAGGAGTCGGTTCTCTATAGCCCGGACTTTAAACGCCCATTCATCCTGCAGACCGACTCCTCCGGGGTAGGGTTAGGGGCAGTCTTGTCCCAAGAAGTGGAGGGAAAGGACCACCCCGTATTATACCTCAGCCGGAAACTGTTCCCCCGCGAGAGGAATTACGCAGTGGTGGAAAAAGAGGCCCTCGCTGTGAAGTGGGCCTGCGATGCCCTTTGCTTCTACCTCCTCGGGGCCCCATTCACCCTCGTCACAGACCACGCCCCCCTCCGGTGGCTAATGCGGATGAAAGATAATAAGGCCCGCATTATGCGGTGGTACCTCGCCTTACAACCCTACGCATTTACGGTTCAGCATCGGGCTGGCAAGGACCATACGAATGCTGACTTCCTATCCCGCATTGGGGAGATGGAAGGACCTGGCCCCGACACGCGGGAGCCAGTTTTAAGGGGGTGTGTGTGTAGTGAGTCGGTGTGGCTCCCCTCCTGCCCAGAAGAGGGAGCCCACGTGCAGGTACCAGAGTGGGTGGGACCACCACCGCCTGTCCCCGCCCCCCGGAAGTCAAGGGGCGGGACAGGAAGTATAAAGGCCGGCCGCCAGAGCTCAGTCTGCGGCCAGCCACCACAGGGAGCAGACGTGCGGCTGGGAGCTCCCGGCCAGGAGACCGCTGAAGACCGAGGCCTGGACCCTTGCTGGCCTGAGCTACCCCGGGCACGCTACGAGGAGGAGCCGCCGGAGCCCGTCCGCTCCCGTCACTGGGAGAATCCCTGGGAACCCCACCCCACCAACCCTGAGGGTGAGACTCCACCCGAACCCCTCCGCCCCTGCTGCTACCCAGAGGAGCCGCCCGAGGACCGTTGGCCTGACTTCCCGGCAGAGCTACCGGACCTGCCACCGAGCCCTGGCCGAGAGGAGCCCATGCAGATGGACTGGCCCGAGCCCGGCGCGACGAACGAGGTAGGCTTTGAGGGGGATCATGGAAGTGGCCCGGGGGTAGCCGACCCCGGTCCGGCTGCAACCGAGTGTGAGCCAATGTCAGTGTGTTGCGGTCTGGATACCCCACTGACCAGCAGCGGCAGTAACCGCTGCTAGGTCCCCGGGCTGGAACGCAGTGGAGTGGGTGGGCCTGCGTTCCCCCCTGCCACCCCCGCTCACGGGTGGCAGGCTTCCCCCTCACCCAACGCTCGGCTACAGAAGCCTAGGCGTGCCTTATCTGAACTGCTTGCTCGCTCAGCCCCCTGCAAACAAGGGCCTGAGCTTGAACTGTGTTTGCCCCGCCCTGATCCAGGGCCTGGGCGCCTGAACTGTTTGCTCGCTCAGTCCCTACAGTCAAGGGCCTGAGCTTTACTGTGTTTGCTCCGCCCCTGCAGTCAGGGGCCTGAGCTTTAACTGTGGTTGCTCCGGCCCCTGCACCAAAGAGCCGGAGCTTCGGGACTAACTGACTGCTTGTTCCCACAGTAGTGAGTCGGTGTGGCTCCCCTCCCACCCGGAAGGGTCGAGCCCCGGCTAGGACCTATTACAGTGACAATGCTGAATGTTCTTTCTTTCAGCCATTAATAGCAGGTGCAGAAGAAATAACAGGAGCTGGTTGCGAATTTTTAGACGAAACATTTTTTCCTTGAAAAACGCCCATTTGCCAAAACATAAACTGTTTGAGGAAACGTATTATAGACCCATAGGGATAGAAGGGACTGCAAGGGTTATCTAGTCTAACCCCTGCCAAGATGCAGGATTAGTTGTGTCCAAACCTTCCAAGACAGATGGCTGCCCAGTCTCCTTTTGAAAACCTCCAGTGAAGGAGCTTCTGCGACCTCCCTTGGCATCTGTTCCATTGTCCTACTGTGCTTACAGCTAGGAAGTTTTTCTTGAGATTTAATCTAAATCTGCTGTGCTGTAGTTTGAACCCATTGCCTCTTGTCCTGCCCTCTGTGGCACAAGAGAACAACTTTTCTCCATCTTTCAGCATTTTTGGAATAATTTTTCACCATTATTTCTTTCTAGTGAACATCTGCCCTTCCTGAGCCCCACCCTGGGAGAGTCAGAAAGCTGCTCTCCTGAGATTCCCACCCAGGTTTGAACACTCAGCGAATTCAGAGGCAGATTCCTCTCTGCTCCCAGTATCACTTTTCACAAGGAAGGATGGGGTACAGGCTTGGAGGT